CCTTGAGCACCGATGACTGAAATTAGGATTTGAGATTGCACAAGGATAATTGAAATTTTAGTTCCTCATATGACTTTCATGGATTGTTATAGATCCTCAAGATTGCTCATGTCAAGTTTCAAGTCTTGGATCACATTTTGCTCAATCAATTGATCAGTTGACCTAAAAATCAGCTGTATTGGAGAAAAAGTCAACTATGGTCAATTTACAGTCAAAATTCATATTTTTTGATCCATATCAACATTACGAACTCATATATGAAATTTGATCAAGTTTGGACCATAATTCCTCAAGAAATTTGATCAGATCATCAAAAGGGCAAAATAGTCAAAATTAGGGTTTTGATTGGGAAAGGGCAATCTCTGATTTTTGACCTAGCATGTGGTTAATTGGTTTGAGACATGATATCAAGGATTAAATTGAATCATTTTAACCTAATGGTATGACTCAAAACATTTCTCAAGGTCATTTGATTGATAGTTGATTTTCAGTCAACTGATCAAAAGTCAAGTGTACACTGAAAAGTCAAACTTTGACTTTTTGGTCAAAATCAAGTGTCAAAGATCAAAATTAATCAAAACATGTCAAAATATGAAACTTGTTCATCAAGAAATCAAAAAGTCAAGATTTCATTTTGAAAAGTCAAAGTTTCCAAACTTAGAAATTTTTCTAAGTGTTGAAAACTTCATGTTTTTTCACAACTTTGAGCCAATTTTTCACCATGATGCAAGATGATTCAAAGGAAACTTTCAACATGAAAGCTGTAGATATAAATGAGATATAAAACATTTCTTTACACAACTTCTCCTAGAAATTCATGTATTTCAAGTTATGATTTTTTCAATACATGTTCATAAAACATAGAAACTTAGTGAAATTTTGCCCTAGTTTAGGCAAGATTTTGACCTAACTTCATAGAAATTTTTCACATAGTTCCAAGGGGAATTTTCAAAAGTGATTCAAATAGGGGTTGTATATCACATTACAATCTTTCCAAAATGTCCAAGAACTCCTTGATATCATTCTTGAGCATGGAGAATCGAAGGCAAGAAGTCAGGGTTTTAAGTTGTTTTGCAAGGCGAAATTTGTGATGCAACATGAACCAAATCCCTAGCCATGCTGCATAATAATCACTTTGCAGGCCTCAAACTTGTTTTTCACTCCTTAATTTAATGTTTACACAACTGATTGATCAATTTTCCAATTGATTCAAGCATTGTCCAAAGCATTTTGCCATTTTAGGGAGAAAGTCACCATTTCCATTCTTGTAAAACAAGCTTTATGCACAAAGTCAGCTTCTTGAGCTCCTAACTTGTTCTCTTTAAGTACACTCCATCCACAAAGTCAGAATCAAGCTTGCTAAAAGTCCAACCACTCTACAATAGCAAGTACAAAGGCATGGAAACTTATTTTATCAAGAAAATCACATGTTGAGCTTAAACATGTAATTTCAAATTCTGACTTGTTGTAGCACACAAAACCTCTTGCCTATAAATACATACACTATTTGCAATAGAAGGCACGCATGCTTAAGACCTTAAACTCACTCAAACTCACACAAACTTAGATTGCACACAAAACTCCATTTTTGTGCAGAAACTGACCTTACACTTCCATCTCTCAAACTACTTGTGCGTTTCCTCTCCAAACCATTCCAAAAGTTCCTAAACATCATCCACAACTCATCCCAATACCTGTTACAGTTCTGTAACTCCATTTCCACCATTGTCCAAACTCAAAAATAGAGCACTGCAAGTGGACTTATCCATAGTTCCTCAGCCATTTTCATCTCAATCCAAGCATCACATTAACTTCCTGGGAACTTGAGGAAGCTAACCCAATCACTAAAACTCATTGAAAGTTGCTCAAACTCAAAACACGAATTCCATTTTCAAGGTGAGTTTTCTGACTTTTGAACTTTTCATATAGGCATCATTTGGTTTCCATTTGTGAAGATAAAATGTAGACATCATAGCCCTGAAACTAATCATGTCCTTAGAATTCATTTATGTTTCCCGAGTACTGAGAATTTTGGAGTTGAATTTTCTGGAAAAAATTAGGTCAGATTTGGACCATTAAAAATTCACGCTCATCTTTGATTTATAGCTTTAGTTATTTATATGACTGAACTTGTGATGAAATTTGGAGCAAGTTTCATGTTTATACTTTTGCAAATGGTTGAGAGATGAAGAAGTTACAAGATTTGAATTCATGATTGGTTATGGCGCGAGGAAGAAGATGAAGTCATCTTCAGGAACGTGTTTCAAATATATATTTATGGGTTTGTTTATAACATCGAATGTATAGCCATCCCAGTGGTAAGGCAGCGCGCTGGTAACCAAGAGGGCGTGGGTTCAACACCCAGCACACTGCCTTTTGTTCTTTTTCACACTTTTTTACATTTTTTGGTTTCTTTGCAGCGCCTGGGCCCAATATTGGGCTTTCTTCTTTTTTTTTGCTAACTTTCCAACCCCTGCCTTACTTCAGCACCCTTTGGCCCAATTCCATTTTTATTTTCTTTTTCTTATTATATTTTATTTCTTTTTCTTTATTATTATTATTAGTATTATTATTAATATTATTTTTTATTGTTATTAATAAAAATCCAAAAATATTTTTTTTATTATTTTTACACTCATTTATATTTTATTTCTCTTTATAAGAACTAAAAAAGAACAAAAACAATTTTCTTAACCAATTTTTTTAATTAATATTTAGATAATTAGGTTTAATTACTATATTATATTATTTTCTTGTAAATTAAAATTAATTTAGAACTTAGGTTGATTTTAATTAATTAATTTTCCTATTATTTCTATTATTTAAAACCTTTTCAAAAATAAAACCCTAAAAAAAATCTTTTTTAGTTAATTTCTTTTCTTATTTAGTTTAAGTTAATTTAATTTAATTTTCCTTAATCATTTTTTAATTAGGTCAAGACTAAACCCTTTCATGAAAAACAAACAAAATCATTTCTTTTTTCCATTTACATTCTTGCATTTTTATTTTTAATTTTTGTACAATATTCAATTTGGTTGTAATAGTTAATTAGATTTAATTTTCTTACAAAAATTCTCATTTGTAAATTTGTACACCCCTCCCCTAATGATTGTAATAGTTTAGTATTTTTATTTTTCGCAATTTAATACTTTATATACAAATGCTAGTAAATTAGAGTTTGTATGGAAAGATAAAATCAATGCTTAGAAAAACCTTAATTCAAAGACAAAATAATGCATGTAAATCAATACACTTGCGCACTTACACCCTTAGGGTAAATCCACTTTGTTGCCTTATAAAATGACCATATTATATGCATGTGGGGTACCTTAGCAAAAGCAATCAAAAAAATACAAGATCATAGTCCCTCGATGATGCTATCAAAGTTGCCTTTCAAAAATGATCTTAGTCCCTAAAGAAAATGCTAAGATATCTTACAACATTGCTAATCATGGTTATACGATGACCCGTGCCCGTCCCTTTACATCCAAAGATAAGGTTTCTTACCAAATCAATGGTAAGATAACAATGTCAAAGAAAAAAGGAAATAAACATGAAATTCTTTTGAGTAGGTAAAATGTTCCTAGTTGCTTGCTCATTTTTAAACCAAAACATTCTTGCTATTTTCAAAACAAACACCAACACTTTCAAAACACCTTTCAAAACTTGAAAACATTTTCAAAAGATCAACATTTTGTATACATTCTTACGAACGAGAACCATTATAAAGTTTACCTAAACAATGGCCCCTTTTCAAAATACTTTCAAAACCCATACAAAGCACAAACAAAAGCAAGTGATCTAGCAAGCAACTAAGAGCCCGTAGATAAATACGGATGAAAAGGGTGCTAATACCTTTCCTTTTTATAATCTACCCCCTAACTCAAGAAAACATCTCAAAGATCTTTCCTGTTCTTTTCAACCTTTCCTTTTGGATAAAAGAAAAGTTGGTGGCGACTCTTGCTATCCGCAACATTTGCGACCAAACGCAAAACAACCAAGTCAGTTATCCCACCGCGTTATAGTTTGTTTTGTGTTTTTTAATGGAACAATGCTAAGCTTCGCATTCTATCGTTGCTTGACCGTGTGGGACTCACGCGTCTGACGAGTGGTGGTAAAGGGGCTAGAATGGGGAGTGTAAACGCATGGAATTCGTTGGGCCAAAGCATGCTCTGAGCCCAAACGCACGTATGGTTTCAGATTTCTAACAGACGTTGCTAAAAACAAAATAAAAAACGAAAATAAAAGAATATGTGTGATGATGAAACGCTGCATTTTGGAATGGAAATGTGGCTCTTCAGATAATCTCAAACCTTGAAGCTTCCTTTTCCTCATTCTATTCTATCTCAACTCAAACTCTGCCGAAAATCGCTCTGCCGCGTCGAAGGCGACAAAACTTCACAAATCTCCAAATTCCTTCCATCGTCTCCCTCGTCTCCAACTCATCCTTCTATTTCTAGGCCTTAATTCCTCTGGTTCTTGTCCTTATGCGCTACATCTAGGTACCAAAACCCTAACTGAGCTAAAATTTGGAATTATATGATTACGTCCGCAAATCGGAGCTTGAGACCTTAGGATTCTTAATCAGCACAACGAGACACACGACATGGTAACAAGATTGATGTAAAAGGTGAAATGAACATTAACTAACGGAGAACAGGTCCGGTGCTCTTTCAACAATGTCGGAGAAGCCAGATAACCAGAGGATCTTCAGTGAACTGTCAGGTAATAACGGATATCCGTTGATTCTTCTTTTCTTCTTTTTCCTCCACTTCGTCTCCTTTGAAGCATCTGTGCATTATGTTACTGCGAGTTAAGTATCTGGATTCGTGAGTGTTAGAGAAGTGGTGTGGATGATGACGGTTATGATGCAGAGATAATGGTGATGTGCCAAACGATAATGGTTGAGGATGAAGAGTGGGAAGCACTATCGAAGTTAATACTCGGTGAAGGGTGATACGACGGTTACAGAAAACTCAGAATGAATTAAGGTGATAAGAATGGAACCGAAGTTGCAAGTTAGTGAGAGGATGAAGATGGTGAAGGTTCATGGAGAGAGAGCAGAGACTTTTCTTGTGGTGACTCTCCAGAGAAAAAATAATCGATATCTGGTGAGTTTTCAGTTTTTGTATTATGTTAGAGGTTATGGACAATTAGTGTGAGCTGTCATTGGCAGTTAAAGAGTTAGTTATGGACTCTAAAATTCTGTTAGGATGAGCTGGAGTTGGTTAGGCTGAGTTGTTGCAGTTGTGATTCCCATGCTTATGATTTTTTATGATTTCTATTCTCTCTATATTTTCTGGTGTTTTCTATTCTGAATTGATGCAGGGCATAGCAGTTATGTTTTATTTGAATTTTTGATTTTTTTATGGTTTTGTAGGGACTTATGGACATGATTTCCTTATGCTTCTATATGAACCTGAACTGGCAGTTTGGGAGCCCATCATGGATTCTGCTTCCTGCCTGAGTGTTGCAACTGGTTCAGCAAGTTTGTGGCTAATGGGAGGTTGGAAATTGTTGAAAGCTAGTTAGTGAAAAAAACAGTTATGCTAGCTAAAAGGAAATTGTTAGTTAGGATGGTTATGAAGTTTCTGTTTTGAGGGTAGTAATGTTTATGTTTGTTATAAATTAGTTAGAAAGGTTAGAAGGAAATCTGGGTGAAGACAGTTAGATGGTCGATATGATAGTTAGGAGTTTGAACTTGATGTCTTGCTCTTGATCCATGATAGAATGGCATGTTACTGTGTTATGCAGGTGAGTTCAATGTAGCGGCAGGTCTATGTTGTTGCAGATGGTTTCAAGGTCATACTCGGTACATATTGCAGCAATAGTTCCAAGGCGTTGTGGCGGCTGATCATGCAAAGATTTAAGCATGATTGGAACTTGGAGCGAGTATAGTTCTTGGATTAATCATATTGTACTGTAGCTTGTGTTCTATGTTCAGTTTCTCCAAAAATGTAAAGGAACCATGGCTTGTAACTTGTAATTTCTTGTTGTTTAATATTTCAAAAATATGAAGCAAGGTGACTTGTAGTAATGTGTATTTGGTACTTGAAAAGAATTAAAAATGACTTTTGATGGAAATGTTGTAACTTTGAACATGAAGGAAACAGAATGAACTTAGATGATGCTTGAATAGAATCTCGAACGTAGTGTGCCTATGATCTTGAAGCACTCTTGTAATGCATTTTGGAATCAATGAGAAAATTTCATATATTCAAAGAAAACTCTCTCTTTAATTGCATAATTCTTCCTTTGAATGTGATGGTGTGACGACACTTGAATCCTCCTTCGTCACTTCTTTTTATTTCAACCTTGATTGAAACTTGGAACAATACACCTTGAAAAGACTTATGAACCAGAGCAAATCACTCCACTTTTGAATTCCAATGAAAGCCTTCTTTTTACATGAAGTTTGAATTTATTTCCCTCTAACTTGTTTAATTGAATTAATCTTGAATGAACCATGATAAGAGAGCCCAAAAAGTTCATGTGGAATTTGGTCAAAAGTAAAAGTTTTGATCCAAGACTTTCAACCTTGAAATAATGCACAAATTCCACCATATACTCTTGTAGAAATTCAAAGCCAATGATTTGTAATACAAGTAGAGAAATGATCATCAAATGATGATGAGACCCAAATGAATCAATCTTTATATGATGATGAGAAACCTAATCCACGTAAAAGCCATATCTTGCTATGAAATACATCAAGATTGCCTTAGGAAGTTGCACTTCAAATAATGATATAATCCTTTGAATGAGAAAATTATGAAAAGAACCAACCCTAATGCATCTAGTCTTGAAGTATCTTGATGAATATGACCTTGTAGCTTGATAAAGATAAATTCACAATGATCGTGAATCCAAACCCTAGCTCCATAAACCAAAGTAAATGAAAAACCAGTTGATTCAAGCCCGAATGAAGTGAAAGCCTTAAAGCATAGATAAACCCTAATTCCCCAATATCTTTGATCCCAATGTTAAGTTATTGATTTGCGATGTATGATGTGTTAGATGACCTAACGTGAAGGTAATGCATATGAAGAGAAATGCAAGATGTGTAAGCCAGATACGGGTAGGACAAATTTGGGGTATGACATGGTGGACTGGAGGTAGCTTCGTTAACAGTGAACCAAGATAAAAAATCGTTGTATCATTTATCATTGTTGCATTCTTGTTGTTTGTGTTCTTGAGTTGCAAAAAGTTTTAATCTAGAAACCCAATTTAAACCTCCATTTCTTGTCTTTCTTTGCACCTTTAACTTCCAACACTAGTAACTTCACCTTCTCGACCAACTTACTAGGGTATTCAAAAAAGGCTTCAAATCGGCCCATATGCCTGAAAGGTGGATAAATGCACCTTAAAGCTCTTTCAAGTACCAGTCTCGCTTGGTTGTAAGGGAATCAACTCGTCCCTTAAGAAATTCCTTATCCCTCTGAAGACGGCTGGGTAAGAAGACTACTCCCCTCCTGGTAGAACCAAACACCAAAACAGCAAACGACTGACGTATATATTATGGAAGACCCACTAATTCCTTCTTATATATGACTTCATTTGTTCTTGAAAAGTATGCATATTCCTCTTTAGAAAATGAAGCTCCAATTTTGCCAACCATTTTAGGACCAGGGCGTGCAAGGAGTGAAGGGGTCAGGTCCGCTAGTAGCGATGTAGTCCCTCCCATGGATCTAAGTTCCACAAAATCCTCTACAAGCACCTGACACCGGTGGACAAGCGGCTATTTCGTTGGAGACATATCAAGCTCAAGGGTGACAACTAAACCTCCTTCAGCCACGAGCTACGACGTGCACATAGCCTCTCCACTAGTATTTGGTCAGAAGAATCACGAATCTTCTTAAGCGTCACGGTGGGTGAGTAGAGAGTGACCCGCCCAACATAGGTCACAACGGTCTAAACCCACTTGTGTATTGGTAACATTCACTCGGGGAAGGAATCACAAATCATTTCCATCTTTTGCATTGTTTTATAACAACCCATCAAATCTACATGCCAAAAACAGACAGGTCAAATATAGAACACTGGAAGACTATTCAAGAATGAGGGGATTCCTATTTGTTACTCACCAAAAATAGTCTTCCTAACCTCTTTCTAGTCGATGTCCACCAGCAAACGCGTCTTTATGTACTATATCCCTTGCTTCAACAACGTGTAGTTAGAATGAATAACATTGTTGACGAAACCCAGATCCTTAAAGAAGGATACTAGTTGCCTCTTCTGGTCAACCTCCTCCTCTTGATTCAAATCTTTAACTTTATAGACATATGACATTGAATCTGCTAACAAATGACTATGATACCAGAACTTGGAGAACTTGTATAAATGTTAGTAAGAAGGCTCGAGCTTTATGGTACATATTTTCACATGTGCGCTCATTAAGGTGGGTAACTAAGAAGTAATGAGCTTTTAAGTGTTTCATGCTCCCCAAATATACTTCAAATATCTTAGAACATTTCTTGAGAGATATCAGACCTTATCCACGGGTTGAATCAGCAGAGCTGCCTTGAGGCTTAAAAAGGTGTAAGAATAGCATTGTGGTCAGCACATCATTCTTGTATTCACACCAGTACTAGAAAACATTGATGTAGGTCTAACTCATTGGATGTAATTGTGATGGGGAAATCAATAAATTATTAAGCATTCCGACCTCGAAATCTTTGAAAGGAATGCATAAACTTATTAAATAGAATATACATTCGTGGGGAGAAATTACACACCCATCAAATATATTGCATATCCTCTTGTATTCCTCAGGAAGAATCACCCCTAGTCATCAAGGGTCTCACCGTCGTACATGCTATGTCTAATTATCTTTCAATAGAAAAGACGGATAAATCATCCAATGTCTCATGGTCAAACCACAACGAATAGTTATCTCCTATTTTCTTATAGAGCTCAAGTTGAATGTCTTCCATTGTAAAGGTTATGCCGACATATATAAAGGAAAAAGATAAGTGCAAAAATCTTACCAAGACAGGCTTAAAGGTAAATATAACATCCCTGGTAGAGTGCATTTATGGCAAAGAGGTTCACCAAAAGTCCAAACAAACAAAAAGAAGCCCATGGCCTTTTTACCCATAAACTCTGATAAGAAAAACAAAGTTGAAAGGAAGAGAAACATATGTGTTACCTTTAAGGGGACAAATTTTTGGTACTAACACACAAAAATAAAAAGCGCAAACTAGTCTAAAGCAAAGACTCGTGCAACAAAGCTAGGAGCAATGGAATAAATCATTAATGAAATTTTGGTACGCACAATATCAGAAGTCAAGACTGATGTCTCAATAACACACAATGTCATAACAAGTGTTATGACATATGCTGACATAATAGCAAACAAAATAATAACACAACAAAATTATAACTTGTAGAAAAAGAAAGAACGCGCATGAACTCTTAACTCGAATCGGTGAAAACTCACCTACTATGGGGGCTACCAAGCCAGGAAGGAAATCCACTATTAGCAGTATTAATTTGAAGCTAAACTCCCCCGTTTACAACTTCTCGCTTAATCCCTACCCAGTGCAACTTCTACCTAGGCACCTCCTAGATATGGAAAATTGTTATCCCACTTCCAATCATTATAGTGATAAAAACTACCAATCACAGGAAAAAACAATATAGTCCCATGAATTGTCACTAAACCAAAACAGGAAGAACACATTTCTAAATTACAAATACTTAGTCTTGTTTAAAAGCTTCGACCAAGAATAATACTCAACTCTTGCTTCACAGCTTTGAGAAAGACAATAACTTGACAAACTGTCAAGCATAATCCATCAACTCAAATGCATCAGAGGTACATGATGAAATACAAAATAAACACAAAGAACCTAAGTAACTATCAACCCTAAACCCTTATTTTTTCACAAGGTTTTACAATAAAAATTGTGCTTAAAAACTAGGTCTTGGACGACTCCTTATATAAGCTTCTACAGTTAGGCTTGGATTGACTTGGATTCTTCAATCAACTCCAATCTTCAGCTGAAAAAACTTTGCAGAATATTCTCCATAAAAATAGAATCAATCTTTATAAAAAGTTTCCTAAAAAGTCTTAATCGATCCTTTTTAGTAACCAATAAAATATGTACTTTCTTCTAACAAAATCCTTTATTGTTCTGCGCCTATAATGAGTACAGAATATTCCAGATACTCATATATTCAAATTAAATCTTCAAGGATATCCAAAAGCAGTGCCTGGTGCATCAACCTTAAGATGCCATAACATCTTCTGTGACATCTGACATAAAAACACATAACAACAAAACTGTTATGAGAGTTGATAAAGATGTTGCACCATCTTACCAACATCAACATAGAACCATGTTTAAAACCATGCTTAGCCAAAATTTAGCCAACTATTAAAACATGGAACTAACAATCTCCCCCGTTGGCATATTTTGGCTTAAACAACCAAAAACAAAATTCAATTGGAGAGAGAAATAAACC